TGTTCCATTTAAAAAAATTAATGTGACCTTGACCTGACCTTCGCTACGCAACCCAAGGTCAAACTGATGTGATCAGTAAATACATCTTTTTAAACGCCACAACTTTTATCTGAAACATTTTTTTCTAAAATGCTTAGTTTTCGAGATATTTCACCGGTCCGGGACTTTATGAACACCCTGTATATATAGTATTATGCATAATGTTTAATGTTCATATATTTATGTTCTTATCGTAATTATATTTTCTATCTATCCGCCGGATTCCATGAAAACCAACGTAACGTATTCATGAAAACGTTCCTCTGAAAAAGATCCTCTGATGTTGTATGTCGCATGCGCGAAAGTTTGAACCCGTTACGACAACGATTGTGATATGTATTGTGTGCAATTATATTGCTGTTTTCATAAATAGATGTTATCTGAATGTATTACAAAGCGAACCCAAAAATATTGAGTTAAAGTGTAAGTATAGTTCCATTACGTTCATATATTATACATATATATATGTACAAATTGTTACTCTATAACCTTAAAATACTTGCATACACTATTATTCTATTTTTCCAATTCTGTGATTCTTATTCAATTTCAGATATTTATTCTATTATTATGTAATTATATTTTTACATGATTTTTTTAATATTATTGCAGGATTATCAAAAATGCTCCTCAGTTGTAAGGAGTTAATAGAGTTGTCAATAGAACAAGCAAAAAGAGAAATTACAAAGAAAGTACAAGTTAACAGAATAAAGAAAAGTAAGTATTTCTCTTCATGTTTGTACTGATATATAAAAATGAAACGAGTGAAACCATTTGATAAACGGTCAAGATGGCAAAAAATAGACGTTTAAATAAAAATATTAAAGATTTTGGTTTGTTGGAAAAGTATGATATTGAAGAAGGTAGCAGTACAAATTTAAATATTACAAAAAATGTAGAAAATGTTGGAAAACCATAGAATATTGTACTAAATATCTGTAATTAAAAAAATAATTACAGTTGTTTTATGTTGTTCATGCCGACATATGGTTTCAAACAGTACCAGAAATATGGGTGGATAAAAGTCACAAAATTATTTGTTGGCCATATGAAAAGAAATCCGTTGCCTCCAAATGGATAAAGAAACAAATACTGTGCAAGCCAGATTGGAGAAAACTCAATTCTACATGTTTCTTCAGACCATTCGGTGAGTAAAGATGCAAAAGTTTAACATTAATAATTTGTTAATTTTATTAACATAATATCTACATTCTGTCATGATTTCTTATAAATTATTGTATATATTCCTTTTTATACTTTCTTATAGA